AAAATATATTTCGAAGATATGTGAAGTCCGCCAATCCGCAGTGGGGCCGCGTGGTGGAATATGCCCTGATACCCTCTGTATAGAGGAGGCCTTTGCCCAGCAGTGGGACATGTATAGGCTGTTACTTTACTTTAGTTCTACCCTCAACTAGATTGCGTATAATAAGTAAATCTTTTATGGGACAATGTATACGCTTTTACAACAAAATCCCAGAAAACGTTCAAAATGAATCCGTTGCTAAATTCAAAAAAACTTGTAAAGGAACGTTTGTGTTAATAGGTATTATAGTATTAGTGATTATTTGAATGATAATGCACTCTAGAAATGAGTTGATCGCTCCAGGCTCTTTAAAGTGGAATATAATAAATTCTACACATATTTGTAATTGTTTTTGTCAAGTTAAAAAAATAAAAAAAAAGTCCCACTGAGTTTCTTACGCCGGTTCTTCTCAGGTCAGTGGCTTTCCTTCCGAACCAGTTTTAGAGTTTTTTGACTATTAATAAGTAAGTGTATGCTTCTATATTGAAAAAAGATATTTGACTTTGACTTTGCCACATAGGTCCGAATGATATTAGTAAGACTTAAAAATTTAAATAAAAAGAAAAGTGAAGACCTATGGGGCTTATCAAAATGGGCATTAGATCTTAATCTGAGATATTACTTGTTTATTAGCCCAAATATTTAATTCCTGTTTAGATTCTTGCAAATTTCCAAAATTAATGAAATATAGCAAAGTTGTGCCAGTTTATAAATCAGGCTCTAGAGAAAATGCCTCTAATTACCGTACCATTTCTATCTTACCGGCCTTAAGTAAAATATTTGAGAAAATAATGCTGGATCAGATGCTATTTCATTTTAATAAATATGAAATTTTGAACCAGCATCAGTTCGGATTTACGAAAGGTAGATCTACAACTGATGCTGGAGTAGAATTAATTTCGCATATCCTGCAATCTTGGTAAACGTTCCATGACACCATTGGTGCGTTCTGTGACCTTTCCAAGGCCTGTGTAGATAATAACATTCTTATTAAGAAATTGGAATATTATAGTATTCGAAAATCTGCCATTGATTTTGTTTCCACATATCTTACCAATAGGGAACAAAATGTAACTATAAATGGTATAATCATCGAGGTCAATAGTACAAATGGGTGTTCCTCAGGGATCTTGGGCCCATTTCTGTTTTTAGTCTACATAAATGATTTGCCATAAGTGGTAGAAAAAAGGTCTCAAATCGTTTTGTTTGCGGATGACACTTCACTGTTGTTTAAGGTTAATAGGAAAGACGTTACTTTAGAGCAACCAATGAAATACTAAGTGTCGTGTCCGGTTGGCTTGCAACCATTAATTTACTTTTGAACGCCACTAAGACTAAATGTATCAGATTTACTTTATCAAAGCTGCCTCACAAACCAGGAATCTTTATTGATGACAACATCCTCCCTCTTGAGGATTCAACAGCATTCCTTGGAATATGCATTGAATCCAAGTTGCAATGGGGAGCTCATATAGATAAATTAGCTAAGAAGTTGAGCACTGCCGTCTTTGCCATACGCAAGATCAGGCAACTAACAAACGAGGCAACAGCTAAATTAGTTTATTATGCTTATTTTCACAGTATTATGTCTTAAGGTGTCTTAATTTGGGGTTCCGCATCCGGTTTAGACACGATATTTGTATTGCAAAAGCAAGCGATACAGGCTGTCTAAGGCCTGGTTCCACGTGAGTCCCTTCGGCATATTTTTAAACAAATAAACATATTAACGCTCCCGTCGCTATACATACTTGAGAACATCATGTATGTACGAAATAACATACACTTTTTTACAAAAAAACATACCACATCGCGTCGGGGCCTTGGTGACACGTTGGAAATACCGAGGTTTAGACTAGCTAAAACAGGAAATCGTTTCTTGGTAACTTATATAATAGAATAGGTGACATCCACAAACAATTAAGAGTAAATAATTTTAAAGTTTTTGTAAAAGCCACCTTAATGGAAAGGGCCTATTATAATGTTGAGGAATACATTGAGGACAAGGATGTGTGGAAATGACTCTTGCTCTGCACTTGCAAGTCCCCTGGCTCCTGCTAAATTATACTAAAGTACTTTGTGTATAATTTAAAAAAATAGATATATGACCGCAGAGTTTCTTGCCGGGTCTTCTCTTGCGGGTCTAGTTTAGTGAACCGGTGGTAGTTTTTGACGTTCAATAAGAGCTCAAAATAAGCCTATGTTGAATAAAGAAATTTTAACTTTGACTTTGTACCCAGTGTAAAAATAATTTTTAAAAATGGGTCATAACTAGGGTGGAGTTTTGAGGTATCAAACGTAAAAAAATACAACCGAATTGAGAACCTCTTCCATTTTTGAAGTCGGTTGAAGAGAACCAAATATGTTAAAGACAGCTAAAATTTGTATAAAAAGAAAATAAGGTGCCATCTTAGTAAGTTTTACTTTAAAAACATTTGCGAGAAAAAGATCAGAAATCTCTTCATTTTAAGCGAAAGTTACGTTATTATAAGGTTAATGTTTAATAGTTTTCATAGCTTTCCAAAAAAACGTAAAAAAAACTGATCAGTGATTTACTCTTTATATGACTTCTCGATAAAATGGAATACAACAAAACAGAATAAACCAGAGCACTGCTTGTGCAATTGCGCGTGCAAAGCATGCCTTATTCCCATACATTGATATATCATATTTATCATCGATGTTTTTTGGCATAGCATTATTAATAGTTTTACTAGGTTGAATTTTTGCCTAACATTAGGGTAGCTCAATTGTCTTTATGTATCACTAATTTTCTTGTACGATTAAAATCTCGTAAATAGTTGATTGGATGTCATCGATCGGTAGTTAAAAGATGTGGCTGGTTAGAAATCAAGGCCATCACGAAATAGGATTGTCTCTCCAATAAAGTCTCATTAATCAACATCACGGTTCATAGTTAACTATCATTACTGAAAAGGATTATACAAAATGATGAAGGATTTTACAATGAGGCCGATTTGACAATCATCTATCTATGTTATATCACTTTAGGAAACTCAATAGAACATACATCTTATATGGTTTTCATCTTCTATTTCATATGTAAAATATATAAGATATATGACGAATGATTAGTCAATTTTCTTATCGTAAATGAATTGGGCACCGAAGTAGCGAAAATATATTTATAAGAAAATAATATTGTAGGTTTGAGTCGACTTGCAGGCCAATTACAAAAATACAAATACCATGAATAAAATCTAATGTTTTTTACTTGTAATATTACGAGACGAAGAGAGATGTCGTTTTACCGAGTTTTTATGCTGTAAAACTGATAGGCAAAGGTTTAAAAAAGGCCCTACATTTCTTCTTCAGACTTCATGTATATTGAATAATAGTAATTAATCGTGTCCGGTTCATATTTAATTTAATAATCATATTTTTATTAATTATAACTAAACATATTATTATAAATGAGAATTTAAAAAATATGCGCCTTAAAATACTAAATAACCGTTACCAAATTTCGTGACTACGATATCACTCGGAGCTCGCTAAGTGTGTTTCAAACTTTTGTTATCTTTGGCGTTATCGTCCTATCAATTAAAGTTATGTGTCACTACAGCAAGGCTCGAGCATATCTTGGTGGAATGTAGATTAGTCCACCCACCCACCAGTTCGGTAATGAATAAGTATTAACTATTTTATAATTAAATAAATTAAAATACTAAGTAAATTAATTTTTTATAGTGCTAATCTCTGCGCTTAAGATTAAACATTAATGTAGAAAAAAGGAATGAAAAGTTTTTCGCCGCTGTGGGTCGAACCCACGTCTTCGGGATTCGCGCCCTGACGCTCTAGTCACTAAGATAAGGAGCCCAAACCCGTGGGTTCTGGCTAGCCCACCGGTTCTGCTTCAGATGAAGCTTTAATAGTCTCGGGACTGAAAGCAAAAACATCAGTTAATACAAGATACAAGACTAAGATAAGGATGCGCCAAGCATTGCTTCAAATGCAAAAAAAATAATGTAGATAAAGGACATTGAGAATTTCGTCGGTTTGGCAATCAGCCGTTCAGAAAATAGCGGAAATTATATGTTCTAATATTAAATTGTAGAGTCGTAAAAGATAATCAAGGAACCTCTAAGTATTAACTAGAAGTATTTAACCATTGTCCTCTTGTGCGTTGTGGACGTCCATCGGTACTTCTCTTTTAAAAACATAGAGAGTTTACAAATATACGCAAATCCGTTAATGTCTTTCTGTCTGCTAGTTTTAACCAATTATTTGCATTCGTAACAAGTAAAGAGACGAATGCAGTTAGCGTACGCGGAGCAGACACGCGACAGATTTGTTCGATAATTTACGTAAGCTGACCGCATAAGTTATTCGTGTACCGTACTCTTTCCAACTATTGTGGCATGGAAAATTTTCGTTGTTACAATTGAGTGTTCAAATACAAGTGATACTTTCAAATGATTAAAATTATACTTTTATATACCTGCATTTCAGGTATATAAAAGTATCGTTTTTAAAGATAAAATTTAGCATTTAACGCAAATTATATGAAGTTACATGTTCTAGGAAATGTTTAGAGATATGATTATCATATTGCTGTTATTCCGAAGCAGTGGTAGAGCCACTCAGCAAATTCTGTTACACGACCGGGAAGGCTCGGCCAGGGCGTGACGGATCATCTGCGTGAATTTGAAGTATTATACTTTTGTGTTTTCTATAGTCAGTGAGGTAACCTGTGCCCAAGCTTTTATAGGGTGGCAGCAATGTTGTAGTAGCGGCAGCGGTATTCTCTTATACAGAAAAAAAAAACAATTCCCGATTAGCACATGGTACGTGCACGGTGCACATGTTAATTGTTCTTTTATTAACCGAACCATTGCTACCTGCCAGGAATTGCTTTATTTTAATAGGATTGACTCTCGTAATATTCTTGATGAATTAAAAGATTTGACCATTTGTTTAAATATTATTATTCCCAATCTTACCGTGCCACTGTTCTGCGGCAGTAGGTTCCGTTGAAGTTTCTGCACAGGATATGTCTGCCTCCAGCCGAAAAGTCGCACCAGCTTATCGGCTACGTCTTCACAACGAGGGGCGGAGTCTTTCATTTCAAACGGTGTCAACACATAGTGTTTACTTCGTATACTTTCACTTTTTTAACGTCTTAGAACAGAATGTTACAGGGCGTACGTTTTGTTCTATCTTTACATCACATATAAGGGACGCCTGTTTGTATTATTCACGAAAGCACACACAAAAAAAGCGAGTCATCGGTTGAGTTTAAACGTTTTACGTTGACAATTTACGTTGACATTACGCGACACCGTAATGATTCAATATGAAAACGGCTCAGCAGTACTTGTATCAAGAGAAGCCCCAGTTCGTGATACGGCAGTATAACCGCTAGACTAGCAGTGAGACGCGCAAAAAAACCAGAGAGTGTAAAGGCGCGGGGAAGAGCGCGATGCGGTCTCCGAGGCCCGACTCCAGCGCCGTTATCGCGTTATCTACGTGTCGCCCCTCCATCGGGTCCGCCGCACACTGAAGCACCAGCCTTAACGACCCACTGTACGCTGTATCTACGTTCAAATCGCAAGCCGCGCGGAATTTCTGCTCGTCGCAAAATTATTGTCCCATATTATCTTCGCATTACGCTAACGAAGCCCGGATAAGAGCCCTGATCGAGCGTCAGCGCAGTATAAGTGTCTCCTTCACGGTATAAGCGTCAACGGTCCACGGGCAAACGGAACGAAGAAAGCTAAGGGAGTTTCGAATTACCTACGACTTACGTTGCCGTTGAATGTACTCACAACGATCTGTTTGTATCTCGCGTATTGAAAATCCTTAATAATAATGCCCATATCGCGTGCTGTTTCATAGGTAGCCGAGGCCTCTACAAATAGTTTTAAGAAGTTTTTGTTCGTCGGACTACTATTAACCTTGGACTAAACAGTGGCACGATTTTGATAATACAACGGTATGTGAGTTAAAAATAATAAAGATTTTTGGTGACGTACATCTTCGGCGTGCAACTGGTATATACATACAAATCTTGTATGTATTGATTGTAATTATCTGAACACAGTGCTAAATGACATGCCTCGCAAGTGTGGACGCTTGCCGTCCTGTTTTACATGTTCTTTATGCGACAGGCTGGGCTCTTAGCATTGTCTTCGGATAAGCAATATATTCAAAACTACACAACGCTGATTATAATATACAGCCGCACACTAAATACATAATTCATGCACAAGAAAAACAATGGCTTGATGTTATTCACGATAATTGCATAATTTACAGACACCTCGTGTTTATGAATGCTCCATAAAACTCTATTCAAGAGTTTTTTTTTTTTTAATCTGAACCATCGGTAATTTGAAACCGGCGCGATCGTACACAACACAACACTAACCGCGCGACGCCATCCATTGTCATCGGTTGTGGAGGCTAACCGATCCCAGTAACGTGGGAATGTGTTGAATAAGTGCGCACAGCCACTCTTCTGGTTTTCAAGTTGCGTTCACCTCGTAAGAGAATCGCCTCGAGCTATTCTCCGAGCGTTAGCGAATGTGGTTGCCATTCGTAGATATATAAAGTAAGTATTTCACTCAATACGGGAACCGAAAAGAATCAGAATGCTTAGTCACACGAATAATATCGATTATTTGAGTGAGAATTTGACAGTGCTTAACACATAGTTGTGAACGTAACATGAGCGTATATGTGTATATATATATATATATATATATATATATATATATATATATATATATATATATATATACACATTGTACCTATAAGCAAACGCGAAATTCTGACGACCTTGGGGGTCGTATAAAGTTTGTCGTGCGTAACACATGCACGTTAAATATCTGTATCGTGTTTGATCGAAATTAAATTACATCCTGAAGTTAATTGAATTTAGTACAGTAAGGCAGATTTCTACCTTCACATCTAGATGTCTAGATTATCACCATGGCGGAAGCCCTTGGGCAATCATCCTCAAATGTGACAAGAAATGAAGATGTCACCGTCAATGTACGAGAATTTTTTAATGGGGACCATGGTCAGCGACATCGAAGAATTCAAGTGAAAAGTAAATTCAAAGAGTAGTTTGACTGATAGTTTAATAACTACATTAAATAGGTATGTTACTAATCACTGCACACCTTTTTACATTATTATTCTTCTAAAAAAAACGGATCAAATAAAGGTCATAGCTGGAATAATAACAATAAATGGTATATAAAGAACTTGAACTAGCAGCGCATTTTTTGTGCCGTACTTTGATTAATTCGTTATCGTTTATTGCGTTATTCTGTATAATCGGGTAAGGAACTCGTGCCTTGCGTGCAGTCACGCCAAAACGGACGGGCAAAACATACTTCAGGGTCTACTAAAGTCAACTACACACACTTAATGCACCTTTCTAAGTAATATTGTGTAGTATTTTTTGTAATCGGGTCAATTTATAAACTAGAAGTCGTCGTCGTCGAGTCCGCGACGAAACCTTGCTAACGTCACACGCAATTGTTCTCTCCCCGACGGTGCAAAGGAGCCTTCGCCGTCCTAACAACGCGGTGGACCGGGGAACTGTGCAACTTTTCTGCACAATGCAAATTCCTCGCTGGCGAGGGGGGGCGCTTGTGCCTTTTACAACAGCATTCCGTTCACCTCGGTCTCTACGGGGATGTCTGTCACACTTATAATGTAGATTTTCACTCGCTGTATGATAAATGCACAGATAACGTAATAGAAAAACCGAGTCGGTCGCGAGTTATGGAGGATGTAAACAAACTGGAGGCTGCGCGGCGGGCAACTGGCTCGACTTTCTGCGCTTGCGCAGGCTGAGGGGCCAAGGGGAGGGGAGGGCCACTGCACCGAACCGCCCCCCTCCCCCCACAAACTGGCCATTGAGCTCCTCACCTCACACGCCGAGTAAACAATCTCATAACACCTGTGTGCCAGTATAAAACTACTGAAACAATTTCACATGTATCCGTCTTATACTTTGTTGGTAATAGTTCTATTAATTATACATATATTAATAATGAGTAGGGACGTCACGACATATTATAGAAACTTTAAAAACATTTCAGGGTCTTATTAAATTCTCGACCATATTTTCCACATTTGGATAGTAATAGAGAAACGCTCATAAGTTCCATTATTTATAACATTTTATGAGGGCCATGAAATGTTGCAAATTATATAAAATATGTGTATTTGTTATTCATTCTATATCAATAATTTTTTTAAGATGTTAGTAATGCTTCATTGTTTGCTGCAACATTACGGTCACGACTTAATAAGACGAAAACCGAACGTTGATTAACAACGAACAATTACCGTCGGAGGAAACGATGACTAATTAATTCAATGGCAGGAAGTGATGTTTTATTTTTGTTCTGTGTTAAACCAAATATAGAGCGTCGTACAAACGTTCCCAGGGGTGGGTCGGCGGGGGTCAGCGGCGTCGCGAGTGGCGGAGCGCGACGGACGTGGCCAGTGCACCCGACGTGACGGCGGGGTTTTTCAGGGTTCCATACCCAAAGGGATGGTAAATTAAATAAAACCAAAACGGGACCCTATTACTAAGACTCCGGTTTCTGTCTGTCCGTCACCAGGCTGTGCCTCAGGAACCGTGATAGTTAGACAAATATCACAGCTGATGTATTTCTGTTGCCACTATATCAACACATACTAAAAAACAGAAAGCCCCCACTTAAAAATAAAATTAAGTGGGACAATATACAAGAACTGATTTTTTTGCCGTTCTTATAGATAGTAGTACGGAACCCTTCGTGCGCGAGTCCAACTTGTACTTGGCCGGCGGCGACGTGTTGACTCGCGGACAACGCCGGTATTATGAAAGTAAAAATTATATTGCTACAAATAATTTTATACGATTCTTGGAAATACTATAACATTCGGTCCCAACCATTGTCATTTTATGGCCTTTATTTCGAGACAGATTAGAATGAAATTTTTCATCGATTTTGAAAGAGCGGAATGTGGGAAGTGTAGCAACGATCGTGAACGTTGGTCAAAATCTTGGAACGAAATTTCTGATGTTCATAAGTAAAAATTCAATACAGTAAAATTTATTCTAGGACCTATGCCATAGGATTATAAAAACCTGAATGCAAAGTGAAACATTTTTCAACTTTTATAAAAGCATATTAACAATATATATATATATATATATATATATATATATTTATCAAAAAATAAAAATAGTAAATATATTTATCAAAAATTTGTTGATATGAACTCTTTTTTTTCATTTGATGTTTTACATGTTAACGTCTTACCCTACATTGAACTGTTTTTCAACAGTCTCTGGAAGAAGTAATAACCACGCCATCTATCCAGATCGTTTGATACTAATAACGTACTCAAAAGACAAGGCAACGCTTGTAAGTTGTGTCTAAAAAATGTAGTATGTAGCTCGTGCTAGGAATTTTTGAGAAATGTGTGACTCAAGTATTATTTTCTTTACACTTTGTCATTTAGCTATCTATAGAAGCTTAAAAGTTACATAAATAATTTCATAAGGACAATTCCTTTGACGATTAGTTTCAATGTTGGCCAACAGATGTCACTGATGTCTTTAAACATACATATTTAAATGATAATGACATTAAGCCTTGACTTATTCATTCAATTGACAACTAACAAATTACAAAATACGATAAATTGATGATCTTCCTTAGAGCCATTGTACGTCTCTTTTATTTGTCAAGTTGAACTAAACATTATTAATAACGAAATAATTAAGACTCCAAGTTAGTCTTGTTTTGTTAATCGGACTAAAAGACGTACAATGTAGAAAACATGTATGGTCTGGTTCTGGACCTTAGTTAAGGCTAATCAAAATTACAATTAATCTATCTCCGATAATAGATCCGATAAGTAAATAAAAAAGTAATAAAAATCCTTATAGGCCATGTTGTATTATAACTTTTATTTTAAAGCGAATTCCATATGAAAAAAACAGTGTGGTTAAACCCACAGCAATTCAGACTTAAAAAGAAAGGGAACATTGTATGTTTCGTTGATAGTCACTATCGATTTAATAAGTTAACGCCATGGATACAGTTTAAGGAATCTAATGATCCGTGTAGTTAATACTAATTGTAGCCACTCATACACAGCACCTAATCGTAATTATGTACTTTGTTAGCTCTAAAGATTTTATTTATTTGAATTAATTATTTATTTTGATAAAGTTATATATAACTTTTTCTAATTTAAAATTCTTTTTGAATATGGGTGAGAATGAATTTATTATAATATGTTATTATATTAATCTAATGTAAGAGATTTTTAAAATTAGGTCACTCTCTGGCTGTATTGCAAGCTTGGGCCTGAAATGTGAGCAGGTTGGCGTTTGTTATGTAAGGAACTTGACACTGTAATGTATGGGAATATAGAACTGATTTGCTGAGTACGCGTATTCAACTTGACATTATTTTTGGCCCAAAATAAACGGTGTAAAACTTAACAAAAAAGATCATTAACACATGTAATACTAATATGCTAAACGCCCGGTTTCTGAAACACTATTCATCGTAGAAATTAACTAATCAGCTGTCAAATGGCTTTACAAATGTCATTTAAGTTGCCGAAAGGATGGTTAAACTCTTTGAATTGACCATTCTGATCATTAAGAAGATCATTCTGTGTGTTTCAGAAACCGGGCGTTAGTGTTTCCATTTTCCTTTTCTGCAAATTTTCCGGTTTGACTATGAATCATTAATTAAACACCGTATAACATAAATAAGATATATATTTGTTCTACTTAGATAAAGATAATCGGTATTATCTTAATAAGTACTTAAATTTACGTTAATGTAAT